GCACACACACACACACACACACGGACACACACACAGACACACACAGACACACACACACATACACACACATACACACACAGGCATTCTCTCGACAATATGCGTTTTTGCTGGCTGTAGCAGCACTATAGCGCTGCACAAAAAAAACGCATAAAAATGATTTGTGAAGGCAGATTGATGCTGGCAATAAGACCGGTTAGTTAAAATTCCTCTGTCCTATTTATGCACCAAACAAAAATCGTTTTGCCATTTCTACAGAGAGCTCCACTCCCAAAGGATGGCGGTACCAACCTTCACGCCCAGACGTGTATGGAGGTCGGCATCGCTTACCTAAGATGGCATTTGGCTGGATAAACAACTGGCAAAATTTTAAAGCTGGAGCTTGCTTGGTTGCCGGGTTGAAATACCTGGATTGACATATATACAAGCATACACCACGGGTCGTCAAAATATGTGTTTTTATGCGTTTTTGCATATATGTAAATTGCAACCCAGACTGGAACGCAGCAGGCTCTCCGGTGCGATCATGCGCTTTTGCGCTAAACTCGCAGATCGCCATTAGCAAGAATGATCCTTACGCTGTAGCCTAACACTTGGGTTCATATTGGCCATGCTTTGGCCTCTCCCGGCATGCAGAAGGAAGGGCGTCAATTGGGATGAAAGTGGTGCGTTATAGACTCGTATGGACATCCAGGTGCGTGATTACCGGTTTTTTGTATGAAGTCCGACCGCTTTTCGGTAAATGCTCGCTTTGTGAAAAAATGACAAATGCAAATTTTTTGAAAAAATGCAAATTTCCATTCACTAAAAAAGTGGAAGTATTGCTCGGGCGGTTGTTCGTCAAAAATCCACGTTCATTTACATATACGATTGCGGTTAAGGTGCGAGCTGCGAACGATTTTTTTGAAAATTTGCAAATTTTCAGTTCATTAAAAATTGAAAGTATTGCTCGAACAGTCGTTTTTCAAAAAATCCATGTTCATTTACATATACAGTTGCGGTTGTGGTCCGAGTTGCTAACGACTTTTGGGTTGACGAGCTGCTTGAAGCTGTGGTTGGGGAGCTGGAGAGCTGAGTTTAAAATTTTTATCTCTCACGTGCATAGAGAGCATCCCTGCAAAGCTCCCGCTTTCTACGTTGCCTAGTTCGCGAAATCGTTTCCCGCCAACATATTTCTTTGGGGTTCCAGTACGTGGGATTTAGGCACGTGTGAGTAAAGATCTTAAAACGGGAGGATGAAACACGGGTAGGAACATGTATCCAAAATTTCAGCCTCCCAGCTTTCCTGGTTGCTGAAATGAAAGTGGGTGACAAAATGCACTCGCTTCCCGAACACACACACACAGACAGCCTCTTGACAGCATGCGTTTTTGCTGGTTGCAGCAGCGCTACAGCGCTGCATAGCAAAAACGCATAAAAACGCATACTGAGGAGAGGCTGTGTATGTGTGTGTGTGTGTGTGTGTGTGTGTGTGTCTATGCGTGTGTGTGTCTGTGTGCTCGCACTTTTTGTCACCCACTTTCAACTCGAGAACCAGAAAAGCTAGA